CCCCCCCCCCCCCTGCTCTTAACCATTTCCGTCCTTAACCGTTCCTCCAGGTAGGTGTCGTGGAGCAGGAGCCGGTCTTGTTTGGGGGCAGCATCGCTGACAACATCCGCTACGGAAGACCGGAGGCTAGCCGGCAGGAGGTGGAGGCTGCAGCTGCCGTAGCGAACGCTTCGGCTTTCGTTGAGGTAGTGCTGTCAGCACGTGTTATGTGTAATGCTTTTCTGTACACTTGGAAGCACGTGCCCGTAGTTTATTGTCCGTAGTCCTACGTGTGAGATCGGCTAGTGCGGCCAGCATTGCACCGAAAGGTGCGAGGACCGGTGTGTACAAAAAGATTGTGAACGCGTCCCCCATTCTGTCGAAGAAGAACACGTTGCACGTATGCCTTCATCCAGCGTGGATCGTTGTGCATGGATCATCGCGTCCCGGCACGTGATTGGGCGCTCGATTCAGAAGTGTTTCTGTTGAGCCCTTTTTTCTTCGGCGGTGAGAATGTTCCTCGTGATGACCAAAGCAGTGGACCAAAACTTGATGTTGGGTTGAGGTAGACTTGACGGCGAACCCAGCGGGAGGCACACGCTGTTTTTTGTTAGTTCATTTTTTGTGTAGCGGTACAATTCGGCGTGTGTCGTTTAACACGGCGTTCATTTGTGGAAATGATGTCTGGCTCTCGCCGCCAAGCCGTACACGCGAAACGAAACCAGAGCACGTGCCATTGTTGTCTTTTTGTTTGGGAAGGTCGATTCGTCTTGAGTTTTCCCAACCAAAGGGTGATCGCTGAAGATGATGGCAGTCAGGTGTTGGGGCGTTTTTTTTTTCGGGTGTTCGCGTCCTCCTGAGCGGTGCAAGTCGGTTGGACGGGGAGGAAGGATCGGCTGGTTGAGACACACACAACCTGAAAAGCCCCAGCTCCCATTCCTCCGCCGTCTTGTCATCCGTGTGTCTTTTGAGCTTATTTCGGCCTCGTTCGGTGCAATGTCGTCGGTGTGTTGATCATGCCCCTAGTCTTCTGAGGGAAGAGCGAGCGCAAACAACGAATGAAAAATTGTTTACCCTTAGGCCCGACTGAACAAAACCATGGCTGACCATCATCGCAACTCCCAGCCCACTTCCTTGCTCCTGAAGGCGCCTGTAGCTGCTGCTGTTGACCTGATCGTCCCCCTCATGTCGAGTTCTGGCTTTCGGTGTATGGCTCAACGTTGAATCGATTTGCTGTCTTTGTCTTGCTACCCTGGCTCCGATGCTGCTGTATGTCTGTCGTGTTAGATGTGCAGCATATCCACGCTGACTTGTAGCATAGTAGTGGACATGGTGTACATGTAAACAGCGCGCTGAGTTGTAGCGTAGTGGAAGTGCTGTGCATCTAAAAATAGTGGATGTGTTGTACATGTAAACAGCGCGCTGAGTTGTAGCGTAGTGGAAATGCTGTGCATCTAAAAATAGTGGATGTGCTGTACATGTAAACAGCGCTGAGTTGTAGCGTAGCGGGAATGCCGTGCATCGAAGAATAGTGGATATGCTGTGCATGCAAACAGCGCTGAGTTGTAGCGTAGTGGAAATGCCGTGCATCGAAGAATAGTGGATATGCTGTACATGTAACATGTCGCACCTCTTTTGTGGTGGTCTGGAACCCTTGCAGGGTTTTCCTGATGGATACGATACGCAGGTCGGGGAAGGAGGCGTCCAGATGTCGGGGGGGCAGAAACAGCGTATCGCCATTGCGAGGGCGGTGTTGAAGGACCCCGCCATCATGCTCCTAGACGAAGCTACCAGGTGAGGATTGTTTTCGTTGTTGTTGCTGTTGTTGTTATTGTTGTTGGCCACGTACGAATGATTTTGCCTCAATCTATACAAGGTTTAGGAGCGACCCGTCGGGGAACGAGCATTTGCATCACTGTGATGCGTGGTTTATATCCGACGATGGCGGCCCCAACTCGTACGAAATAGACTCGTTCGATTTGTTGTCACTGTTGTGCCGTAGCGGAACCATATCCGCCCACTGTCGCAGAATCAATGGGCATGTCTGGTGTTCAGCGTTCGTGGCACTGTCCGTTCTTTCGGCGGATGCTCCCTCACTCCATGGGGCTCCGAGATTTGGCGCATTCCATGGTTTCTGCTTCTGCTCCACCTTTGTTACCAACCACTTCGGGCAACTTTTTGATCGAGCAACCACTCCTCCTGGGGCACACCCAATATAAACGTGTTTCAATGCCTACTCGACAAACCTACATATTATAATAGTCCCTTCTGCCTCCGCCAAGCAAGAGTGTGGCCCAAGCCTACCCAACACCCAATCCAACCGAAACCGAACCGAACCTGAACCGAACCTGAACCGAACCGAACCGAAACCGACACTGTCACTGTTTCGGGTTCTTGCCAGTGCCCTGGATAGCGAGAGCGAGCATCTGGTGCAGGCGGCGCTGGAGCGGGTAACCGAGGGGCGGACGTCGCTGATAGTGGCCCACCGACTCTCCATGGTGAGGAGCATGGCCGACAAGATCTGCGTGCTCAACAAGGGGGAGGTAAGTGCAAAATTCTGTGAAGTATATTGAGTAGGATGCTTTGCCCTGCCCTCGGTGATGGCACCGGGTGTGTGTGGGCGTGTGTGTTATTTAGTTAGCGGTGACCGCGCTAACCGGCTGACCAATGACAAGGCGTCAGTCTCAGTGGGGTTGAACACACAAAAGGTTTCCAAAAGCCACGACCTGGGACCCCGTGAGGTGGCGCCATGCGGAGGTATGTGTGTCTGTGTGTCTTATGTTTTGATTATTTGCATCGATCGCGCTGACCGGCTGACCAATGACAAGGCGTCAGTTTTCCTGCGGTTGGAAATGCAAAATGCTCCTGAAGGCCACAAGCTGGGACCCTGCGACCGAGCGTCATTGGGGAGTCAACGCTACATACTCTCTTGATGATACAGATGCCACAGCAAAAACAGAAGGAAACTGCACGTGTACACCATGGCTGCTACTTTGGTGTGTGTTTGTGTTTCCTTGTTAGCATCGATCGCGCTAATTGGCCGACCGATGAAAAGACGTCAGTCTTATGTTATACACGTAGAGGGACGGAAAAACGCGAAACAAGCACGCTCTCTAGCGAGCTGGCTCCCCTGACACCGCCGCGCGGGGGGGAGGGGGGGGACGGACGACAATGTGTGCGGTTGGTTGTCGTCCTGCGTTGTTCTTGCCGGCATCGATTGCGTTCCACTGTCTGATTTTGGAGCGTCGTGCCCGTTTTTTCAACTAACAATTTGATCCTTGGGTGCGTGTGCTTGCGGTTTGTGTTGGTGTGCATAGTAGGAGGAGCTGCTGCCTCTTCTCCGACCCTGAAAGTGGTGTTTTATCTTGTTTTGGTTGCCATGTTGCGCCCCTGCACCCCCCTACCCCGTGCTGCCTGCCGCATTGCTCCCCCCCCCCCCCCCCCCNCCCCCGGGTGTCGTCGCTCGGCAGCGATGTTGTAACACAAACCGATTACTTCGTGAATTCAGCAACCAGGTTACCGCTTTTTTTTTCCCTTATTTTCTGCCTGTTTTGTTTTTTTGCGGTAACCATGAATGGTGGTCGAGTAGATTGTGTTGTTTGGGGTCGAGAACCCTCACTCCGCGCAGTGGGGATAATCGCACGTTGTGCTAAGTTCGTCAAGCACCCTCGAGGCAGTTACACAGCAGTGCTTCCAACTGTCTCTGGGAGTGAAAGCACCAGAGAATAAATTCAGTCATACGCAGCTGTCATCCGTACGCAAGGAAGTAAGCACAAGATGCCGAACACCCTTNGTGACCGTGCGAGGTCTATGGTCTGCCCGATGGGATACACCCCCCCCCTCGTTTCCTGAAGGTGGTGAATCAACAGCCTTGTGCTTGTTTTTGCAAATCCACTCGCTGCTTCCCCACGCTTATAGCAGTTTAGCACAAAGCCCTTGCGTTACCTAACCAAGACAAACCAGCCCAACGGAGCGACCGAACCGATGCGTGTGGGTGCCTGCCTATGCTACCTGCCGTGTCTTCCGCCGTGCGTACCGTACGAACGACGACCAAGGTGGTCGAAGTTGGCAGCTACGACGAGTTGGCGAGCAAGCCGGATGGGCACTTCCGACGGCTTGTGCAGTATCAAATGCTCGAATAGAGAGAAGGGGAGGGAGAGGGAGCGAACAAGAGGGACAGAGAGACAGCGAGAGACCAAGAAAGAGGGAGAGAGAGAGAGAGAGAGAGAGAGAGAGAGAGAGAGAGAGAGAGAGAGAGAGAGAGNCTGCCGTAGACTAGCCCGCCATCATCCTCAGTACCTACGATACCACGCTCGTGCGGAGGAACTCCTTGCGAGATGAATATCGAGTGAAAACGAACGAAACCGCGGCATGCGAGAGATACGGGAGCGCTTCACTGCCCCGGAGGAGCCGTTGCCGTGCGTGTTTGCGGTGTCTAGTCGTTGATTTCTTAAGCTTCCGTGTTTTCGGTCGAAGTGCTGCTGCTGTGGCATGTCCATTGCGTTCTTGAGGGCAAGAATCCGTCGTTGGTTGTGGTGAAGACTTGGACGCGCTGTAATTGAGATACCGTTGTACCCGAAACCCCCTTCCTTCGGTTTTCATAGAGGGGCTCTTCCGCACCACTCATCCTGTCAACAACCAACCGTGAGAAGATATAGATGCGCTGCATGTACACTGCTAGGATCAATTCCGCTGTTACTCTCCGATGACGCCAAGTGTGACGAGATGTGACGGCTTCAGTTTGGAGCTAGTCCGACCACTGTGTGCAGGTTCGAGCCGCTTTGCTTCTTTAGTCGGTATCCTTCCTTTCTCTCTCAGTCGCTCGCTATCGCTCACTCCCAGGTTACACTGAGCAAGGGGGAAAGCTTGTGCATCGCTTGCTACTGCTTGTAAACATTGTACGGTACCTGCCTAATGTTGGAATATCAAGAACCTGGGCAGCAGGTGGTTGGGATAATTACTGGCATAATCTATATATATATAGACGGGTAGACTACAGTAGTTGTCTTGTGTACTACAGTACAGTGTAGTTATAACGTAATGTTCAAGAACCAAAGCAGCAAGATAGAGGTCGAGGCTTATAGATTCAAACGAAGAGACGCAATTCCCTGTGCTACACATACTCTGCGTCATGATGATGGCCGATGGCCATACGACGCTCTGGAATCTGCGCCACATGGCTGGACGTTCCGAAGATTCACAGGAAAAGGAGACTGTGTTTTCGTAACGACCGAAGTAAGAGGCACATTAACCCATGGGCACAAGATTTCTAGAAATGAGGCACTTACTTGCTTGTGTGCATCGTGTAGAATTGATGACACAGCCAATGCAAGTAGCAGGTGCATCTAATGCATGCGTGTGTTTGCCACCACACACACATTCAAACTGCAACACAGGCAAACTTTGTGGTGCAGGTGCGTTGTTACCATGCAAGGACCGCTTGAGCCAAGCCCACTCCCTCGTCTGCACCAAGACCGGCGCCTCAACCTTCCTCCATAACAGGATGGTTCGAGTAGTCCTCAGAACACTGCGCGAGTGCCATATGCCCATCGCCGTTGAGGATTCTTCCCCTTTTACCACAGGCACTGGTAGGGGAAAGGGGCTATACAAGATGGATTTGGTAATCCCCCCAGGATTACACGCAGGAGAGAAGGAAGAGGACCTCTGCACCAAGTCCATTCTGATCGACGTAACAATCGTCAACCCATCAGCAGGTCGAAGCATCGACAAGTCGATCCTTAAGCCAGGATCAGCCCTCGAAGATCGAGCTGCAAGTAAGGCAAATCACTATGCGGGAACTTTCAACCCGTCTAGATCTACCCTCCTTACTGCTGCTTTTTCAACGAATGGTGGTCTTGGCAAAGGCACCAATCGACTCATCGTTGCTATCGCCAACCACTTGGCGCACGAAGCTTTTTGCCGGGAAAATTTTGACGACGAGAGGGCCTTAGTTCGCCTGAAAGCTTTTCATACTAACAGGATTCGGAGACGGTTTACCTTCGAGCTAGCTCGTTTTCTGTCGATGCGAACTCGCGATGTGTTCAAACGTCATGGGCTACTGATCGACCAACTTCCACCAGGGCCAATCGGTTGGGATCTCTGCGACAACGATAGTAGTGAGGGTAATTCTTTTGGGAGTGACGAAGACGAAGGAAAGGGAAAGGGAAAGGGAAGAAAGGAAGACGAAGACGACGATGGAGCAGGAGGAGAACACGGAGGAGTGGAAGCGAGCAAAGGGTTTGAGCCGGATGACCTTCCCCACAACAAGAAACGTAGGGCTAGGGAAGAACTGCCCAGAGATTCTTCTTGTCAAAATGAGGATCAGAATGATAGTAGCGAAAACAAGGAGCATACTGGTGAAAGTACTCCTAGACTAAACGAACTCGTCGATCGAGTACTAGGTAATAGCCTTGCTTGGTAGACGGGTGCAGTTTTCTTCTGTTGCTGCTGTTTCTGTTTTGGATCCGAAGGATAGTTTAGCCTCTCCCATGCTGCACCCTCACGGGGTCCCAGTTCATGGTAGATAGAAGTGTTTTGTGTTTTCAACCGCACTAAGACTGACGTCTTTTCATTGCTCAGCCGGTTAGCGCGGTCGATGCTAATAACAAAAACGCATACAACGAAGGTGCAGAACCCCCCCCTCCCGCACTCCCCAGGGTGCGGGGCCCCGATCCCAATCCCGCCGCGTTTTCGGGATACGACACACGCGGCAGGGCATTTAGCACACCTAAAGGCCGTGGCGGCTGCTGATGCTGCTGTGAGCTTTGAGGTAACAAGAGGAAGAACAATGATCCGTACACATGTCAGGGTATTTCAGAGTCGATGTTGCTCGAGAGGCGCAACTGCTTCCCAGCTGATCGCCGCACAAAGGGAACCGAGAACAACAACAACACGCGCGGCGCCGCGCACCATAGCAGTAGACACATTACCAACCAGGGGTATCAGCACCGCTCCCCGTTCTCTCGAGAGCGAGACGGTAGCCAGGGCTGCAGCATCGACGGCGATAAGACCGCGTGGGCCGCTCTCTCCTCCTCGCCGGTTGCTTCGGAATCGGCCTGCGGAGGACGGCAAGCGCTTCGTGCGCGAGGCGCAGCGGCTGGGGGGCCAGGGGAAGTGGGGACGAGTCATGTCCCTGCTGAGACAGGCGGAGGGAGACGGCGCCGTCGTGAACCACATTATGTACAACGCCGCGATCGGCGCCCTCTCCAAGAGCGGGCGGTGGAGGGAGGCGACGTCGCTCTTGGAATCGATGCCGGAAAAGGGCGTCGCTCCAGACGTTGTGAGCTACGGGGCGGCGATGGAGGCGTGTCGGGCGGCGCGCGGAGGAAGGCCCGACGAGGCCTACGGCATCCTCTCGCGGATGACGGCGTGGACTGGAGGCAAGAGCGTCAAGCCAAACAGACGCTGCTTCAACATCGTCCTCGCGGCCTTCGCGAAGAGTGGCAGGTCTCGGCGGGCGCTCTCCCTGGTGGAGGTGGACATGGTGAACGCCAGTGTTGAGCCGGACCTCCGCACGTGGTCGACCTTGATCGACGCCTACCGAGCGGCCGGCGAGAGCGGCCGCGACGCCGCCGAGCTGTTGGGGAGGATGCGCGAGGCCGGGGTCGAGCCGGACGTGTGGTGCTTCAACAACTGCCTGAACGCCGCGAGCCGGCGGGGCGAGTGGGAACTCGCGTTCGGCCTCCTGGAGGACATGGGCGAGGCGGGCGTGGAGCCCAACTGCTGGAGCTACTCCGCGGCGATGAAGGCGTGCGTCAACGCGGAAGAGTGGACGCTGGTACCGGTAAGTCTGATCGAGTTCCGGGCATGCATGCTACTACCGCCGTGCGTATCTTTCTTACTAGCATCGACCGCGCTAAACGGCTGACCAATGAAACACGCCAGTCTCAGCGCCGTGGAAAACACAAATTGCTCCTGTAAGCCTCAATCTGAGACCGAGCGTCATGCAGGAGTCTACTCTATTCTCTAGATGAAAGACAGGGACGGTAGCAACAGAAGAAAACTGCACATGTCTACCCAGGCCTTTACCTTGCACTCGAGCTCGTTTTGGAGTGCTTTCACAAGCCTAGATCTACCCTGCTTACTGTTTTTTCAACGTGTGGTGGTCTTGGCACAGGCACAAATCGGTTAAATTGTAGCCACCGCAAACCATCTGGCCCACGTAGAATTCTGCACGCGAAATTTTGACGTTGAGTTTGCCTTTCTTCGCCTCAAGGCCTCTTAGAGAAGTAGGATTCGGAGGCGGTTCACCTTCGAGCTGCCGTGTGTCTGTGTGTGTGGTTTGTTCCTCAGACAAGCCCCGCCTGTTACTCTCGGACAAGATACACCCCACCACCGTCAGGGGTTCAAATACCATATGCTTGCTTGTAGGCCTGTCCTCCATCGGCCGTTTTGCTTGTATGATGGAGAATAAGAAGGTGGAATTACTTGAAATTAGTATAGAAATAAAGTTTGTGTATCTAAATTGAAAATAAAACGGCCGATGGAGGACAGGCCTACTTGCTTGGGTTAGCGTGGGTTCTTACCTCCTCCTTGCGTTGTGCCACGCGGTGAATCCCGTTAGCAACCGGGCCATGAGACTGTGCGCTGTTGAGCGTAAGCAGAGGCAACGTCGGAAGGACGACGACTGCTGCGAGTGCTGTAGCTGCTAAAGCGTAAGCAGAGGCAACGCTGGAAGAACGACGACAACTGCTGCGAGTACTGTAGCTGGCGAAGTAAGGGCCGCCATGTTGAGTCATCTAGCAAACCGAACTAACCAGGCCAGGGAGTTTGTACTCGAGTCACTTTGGAAGACGAATCGAGCCGTCTCCCTGGGCCAGCGTGCATGGTGCGCCAGACGATTCGAGACCGTCGCCCCAACTGCTCTCAGCACGACCTTTTCTTCCAAAGCCCAGCGGCATGACATCGCGACACGCACGAAAGTCTCCCAGAGCTTCCTTTGTTGTGTGTATTTTCTGGCATGCGTGAAACCTTAATAACAACCGCCGTGCTGAGTGCCCCGATACGAGAGGGGCCCTCACCAGTCAAAACAAGCGATTTAGCTATCTAGTCCCGGGGGCGGGGGCGGGGGGGCGATCTTGACCAACCGCGATGTTTGGTCTCACGGCATGCTGCTGCTTTTTCTTTGCTCTGATATTTACAACAGGCGCTGCTGCGCGCCATGAGGGAGGCCGGGAGCACCGCTCCGCCGAATGTGTGGAACTTCAACATCTGCCTCGACGCCTACGGAAAGTCCGGGGAGTGGGAGAAGGCCGTGAGCCTCTTGCGGAAGGACATGCCGGCGGCGGGGGTCGCACCCGACGTCGCCAGCTACGCGTCCGCGATCGACGCAGCTGGGAAGGCCGGGGAGTGGGACACCGCGCTCGCCCTGTGGGACGAGGCCCGGGCGGCCCTGCCGCCGTCCGCCCTCAACTCCCATGCCTACAGCATCGCCATCGGCGTCTGCGGGAAGGCCGGCCTGGTGGACCGGGCCCTGTCGCTGCTATCGGAGTGGCGGGCGGCGCCTGGTCTCCCGCCCGACCTACGCCCCTTCAACGCGGCCATCGATGCCTGCGCGAGGGCCGGGCGCTGGGAGCGGGCGCTGTCCCTCCTGCGGGAAATGGAAGAGGCCGGCCTCGAGCCGGACGTAGTTTCGTTCACCTCAGCGATCGCGGCGTTCAGGGGCGGGAAGGCGGCGGCGGCGGCGGCGGGGGCGGGGGAGCGGGAGCTGGGCCTGGCGCTGGGGCTGTTGGAGGAGATGAAGTCACGGGGCCTACCCCCGACGAGCTTCTCCCACTCGGCCGCGATCAAGCTCTGCACGGACGCCAACCGGCACGAGCGGGCGCTGGGGCTGTTCGAGGAGCTCAAGGCCTCGGGCCAGGCGGCCGACGAGCCGGCGTTCACGGCCATCATCGACAGCTGCGCCCGCCACAGCGGTAGTAGTAACGGCGGCGGGGAAGGTCGGTGGGAGACAGCGGTAGGTCTCCTCGATGAGATGGAGGCGTCGGGCGTGGCGCCGAGCGTGGCCGCGTTCAACGGGGCCATTCGGGCCTGCTGCAACGGCGGGCAGTGGCACTTGGGGAGCTCCTTGCTGAGGAGGATGGCGGCGGTCGACGGTGTGGACCCCAACGTGTCCAGCATGAACGCCCTCATTAGGGGCTTGAGTTGAGGCCAAACAGGTTAAGCCTCTCGTTGCAGTTTGTACTCGTCAGGGCAGCGGGCTGCATCCTCCTCTCCCCGAGCTTGTAGTATATGGCAGTGCCGCTTGTTGTTTGATAGGCACCTCCACATGGATTCATGGGGGCGGTTTCAGTTCGTCGTCGGGAAACAGCGGAAGTCGGAGTCAGTTTGTAGCTTGTGTTGCCACGCCAAGGTCCATCACTCTTAGGGTTTCGAATGTAGCTTCGCTCCCTGTACATAGTGTGCACACCATCATCGCTAACGCGATTGATTGGTGTCGACGATAGCACATTTTTCTAGGAGGTATTGGAAACGACGAATATTGGAGGGGGGCGGATCGGCAAATGGTGAGCACGCGAAACATATACGGCTAGTGGCTTGGTGGCTTTTGAGACTTGTTGTGCCATGTGTGTTGAAAGTTTATGCAGAAACATGTACAGCATGTTGTTCCGTGTGGTGTTGGGGAGAGCAGTGACGTTGAAAATGTGACGAAACAACAGAGCCTTGTATGCATATGCTGGTGCAAAATTCCCCGCTTGTGAATACTGGGGAGTCCTATACAGAGGTTCATGGTGACCGCGACGTATCACGGGCCGGGGTCCCGTGGTTCTCCACTAAATAAGGCGTTACCGACATGCAAGGTGAACCCCGTGCCCGGAGAATTGCCGGCCGTTAAGCCTGAGTGTTACGATAGCCGCATGCGCGCGGCGGATGACCGGACGACCGGAGCAACCTTGTTGTAGCCACATTATTGCAGATGCTGCAGAGCTGCTGCTGCCTTGTCGGTGAGAGCAACCTCCCAAGAAAGAAGTCCTCTACCTCAATCGCGAACCGTTTCGTAGTTAACCTCGCAGAAACAGGGACACCCATCTGCTGTTGCTTTGCGAAGCTCGAGATGGGGTATCTACCAGGTTGCACGGCGACCACAAAATGGAACGAACAGCCTCTGCACGGTTCTTTCGGCCGGATCCGCCCAATGCACCGCCTCCGCCACCTTTCGGGTGGTCACAAGCTGTGAACGTTTTCGAGCGTCCACCCAGACTGCAACATATTTACTTCTAGTCGCGGCCCCGACACGCACGAAAATTGCAAGTCACTATTCTGCTGTTTGTTCTCTTCTTTACCCATTCTTCGTCTTCCCCAGCCAAGGATTACATCCAGTAGCGATAACGCCAAGAGCAGAGATCGATGACGCAACCATTCATGCGTTACCCGAGCAACCAATCACCATGGTTTGTCGTCTTCGTCCTCCTTCGATATCACAAAGCAGCATGGTCGAACGAACCAGCCTGTCAAATGAACAACCCTACCACGATGAATCTTGACAGCAGTGTCAGCAGTCAATCAATCGTAGATGTCCTCCAATCCTTCTGTGGTCGGGGCATACGCCATCGATTCGGCGAGCTCGTTGCGCCACCAATCCAGCATCCGCAATTCTACTTGTTGTACGGTGGTGCTGGGACAGCAACACACTCTTCGCCTTCACATTTCCCTCCGTTAACTAGCAAGCTCTTCGGCACCATCACCATCTCCGGCCTCGGCACCCATCGTGTCGCTTCCGGCATCACATTCCTCGGCATCATCACCGTCTTTGGCCTCGTTGTTGTCGCTGTCGTTGTCGTCGCTCTTGTCGTCGCCACCCATCTTCTTCTTTGCTTGCTCGGCTTGCTTTTGCACTTTCTTGAGGGCCTTCTCGGCCTCTTTGTGCTTTCATAGAACGAAAATTTACGCACGGGGTTGGGGTTGTTGGGAGGGAGGAGAGCACACTCGTTTGTCTCCGCTGGCATGCTCTTCTATCCACCTCGTAGTATTGCCCACTCTTTTTGACAAGACACCATGCAACCGAGAAAACTTCATCGATCGGTGTTTAGGGTCGATTTCGGTAATTATTTCGGCACTACTAGTGTTTGGGGTCGATCGGCTTGTTACATATTTTCGCGTCCCTTCCTGGAATAATGCGTGACCAATATTTATGGCGTCGGTAGCGGTTGGTGTATCATACTGGTAGTTCTTTAACTCAAATTTGTATAGTTCTACCTGTTTCTTGACGCTTGTGAGTTTCTTCTTGAAGTGCGCCAAAAGCTTTTTTACGCCCGTCACTTTAGCCTGCAGGTCACCAGCCGGCTTCGCTCCTTCTGACTTAGTCATGCTTGCTGGTGTTTCTCCTGACGATGCAGCTCTAGGTTTGTTCCCTGACACACACAAGGACACCGGAACAGCAAGTACACGAAGATGACGGTCGTGTTGATTAGGAGTGCCACTGTTCTGAAGGAAATATCAATCAATATCGATGAGGTGCGCACCACTTTCGTTTACCAATGCAGAAAGCGCTGTTTTCTGTCCGATCGACGATGGAAGAATCAACGCCACTCCATTCCACAAAGTTTCATCTCGCACCACACGCTGGAAATCATTGGCAAGGTCTACCTGTGGGACGAGGAAGACCGAGTCGGCAGCGTAAATACATGTTTTTATTAACCCGAACGAAGGCTGCCGACGACAACGAGCCTTCCTCGTACTTTTTACCCTAACCAACGATGCCCCACGTTCACCTTGAGCGATGTCATTTCAAGTCGTGTACGTCCACATTCAGATTTTCCAATACTTTGGACAATCATTTCGCCTGGCTTATGGTACTTCTTCGCGGGGAATGACTTTGCTGAATCGTACCCAAGGCTTGCATCCACCTTACTTACTATCTTCATTGTTCTTTCACACGAAGAAAGCATTGAATGCTGTACGTGTGATGACAGCTTCGAACTAAACCGGTGCTTATGTCAACAAATCTCTATCAATTTCTGCAGAGTTAATCATAGGGAGGTTGTAGGTTATTTTCGTTCGGGACTGTGGGTCTGGCGTCGCTCTCATTTGAGCGAATATGTCGTTTTATCGTGCAGTGATTCGGGTTTTAATGTGAGCCTCGAAGAATTAAAAGTGAGCCTCGAAGAACGGAAAGTCAAAAGTGATAAGTTACATAGGACTTAGAGGCTGGGTCAATCGGTAGACAGAAGATGTTTGGAGGTCACAAAGCCGACGCAGCGCCAACCCGCTACAACAACAGAGAGCTGCAGGACAAATCCCTGCAATTCTTGAACTTTTAGCCAAAGAGAGGAGAGAGTGCATTACCTCCCACGACATCAGAGTGAGTCTTGCCGATGACACCGTTCTGTTTCGGAGTTGAAAGAAGAACAGGAAGCAGGTCCGCTAATTGTTCGCTTGGAGGCAATCACAACAGTAGTCGCTGCTTATCCTCTTGACCCGTCGTTTTTTCGGCAAGTCTGCTCAGCACTTTCAAGTGGAGAGTGAGAGGACAGGAGATCCAGCCCCCCCTCATTAGTTGCCAAACGTTATCTTAGAGCCCAATTACACGCTCAGACAGCCCACAAACTAGTTGCTCCGTAGACAACAAGTGCATTCTGCTAGACAAGCACGATGTCCACTACACCACCAGTCAGCGCTGACTGGTGGTCTAGTGATCGTCGTGCTTGTTTAACACATCCATTCATTCCCGTTCTTTGTTGCCACTCTACATATAATGTGTGCAGCGAATTGACATGTTGTGCTCTTGATTCGTTCCGATATGCTGTTGTTGTTGTGGCGAGCGATAACACGCTGCTCCAACCTTCGTTCGATGTTAAGACATCATGACTGTGAGACGTGTGCAACGGATTACATACATGCGTATTTGGTAGGGTGCTCCGCGTTGCAGTTATGTATGCAGAATTGTTGTATTCACGACATAGATGTAGATGGAACAGACGTACGTTCGAGAATTGAATGCCATCGCGAAAGAAAATGAGAAAATAAATGGGATACCATACACGCTTGGCACCGGGATCGAATCGTCGTATGTGGTGCTGTAAACCAACCTTCCACACGTGCGTACGCACCAGCATAGGCTTTCAAAATCCGTGGGACAGAGTTAAGGCAGTTTGGTATGCGTTCGTTTGAAGACAAGGCAAGCGTGCGTTCTGCCAGTGACGCTGCCACAACACGGTTGGAGCTGCTCAGGCCCAAAAAAGTTGCACCAGTCAACCCGTGTTGAAGCCACATTGTTTCCACCCCCTGCTGCGTTCAATTCCAATCGCCATGCAATGCTGACCAGTCTGTCATACATGCAAGGACAGCGTTTACCAATCATTGGACATACCTATGCAACTTGCATGCAGTAGTCGTGCGCGTTCATGGTAGGAGATCCAGCACAACACCGCCGGTCCGCCTTGCGGCGTGTAGGGACCGAAACTTCGACGAACACAACAACAACAACAACAACCAATACCTCTTCCGTATGAATGGATGGACGGCTCCGCTGGTAAACAAAGTCTGAGTGTGTTGTCAGGTGCGTGCGTACATTAGTTTGCAAACTCACCTGAAATGTCCCCCCTGGTTATTACTTCGTTCTTTGATGGGTGGAGGTCTAGGCTGAGGTATCAGCGAGGAGCATGGTGCCTTGTGTGCCTGTCGGTTTGGTTTGATTGTTGATGGTTTACGCACAACAGTACCTCCTCGTGTACTTTCGTTGCGGATTCAATGCGCGTTTTGTGTATCCAGGTACATGTTTCGTTTGGCGTGTGTGCATGCCAAACAGGGGACCATCGAAATGATGTAGCGATGTACCCCGTGGACGGAACAACAATCATCCGGTTGGTTCCCCAGCGGTCATCAGCTAATCCGCTCTGCCAAAAGGTCAATCACCCGAGAGAGAGGAAGGAGAAAGGGAAAGAAAGGCAGATGACTCGATAGATCGATACGTAGTTTCGATCGCAGACTCACCAGATACTGGTACTTATTATATCCGGGCGGTGGGGCGGTGGGCGGTGGACGGTGGGTGGACGGATAATAATCTCGCCGCATTATTTTGTGTCGTTTCGTCGTCGTTTGATTTCGCCGCAAATTTCCTTCTCCGATCTCCGACCTCGACCGACCGACCGACCGACCTATGGACCTATCCGACAAGCCTGGAGCCCGGAAGTCCGGAGCCCGGAAGCCCGACGACTTAACGACTGTGACGACCGATTTCTCGACGATGTTGAAACGTTTTCGGCTGTTGGTGACCTCATCTGGACTATAGCAACCTTCATTGTCGAACTTGTGGCAATAAGTCGCTGGCGTGTCAGCACGAACTTATGGATGGGCGATATCTCCTTCCTACAACTAAATTATTAGGAAAAATATATACACACACAGAAAGACTACCCGTTCGAGCAATACCCACATTCGAACGGGATGTGGTGGAGTCTTTCCAGTGAGTGGAGGGAAACCGGCTGAATATATAACGACAGCAGAAGTAACACCGTGCGTAGGTTCACTTAGATATCACACACACACCCTGGACCGACTTTCAAAGCCTGACTACTCCACGACGAGGAGGATGCCGAAATCAAATGGCGCGTTGTCGGAAAGCTCTCGACGACGAAGCGTTTCTAACGCTGCTACTATTCTCGGCACCGCCGCTGCTTTTTTCCTGCCGAGATAATATCGAGATCTGAAAATCGGTCCAAGGGGTGGGTGTAATATCTGATATTTAGTCTCCTATTATTTGTTTATGCATCCTACGCTGCGCTTGCTGTTTGTTGAGACCGACCGTAGAACTAACTGCTGTGGAGAGGATAAGACATCCATCTAACATTTGAGTTGTTGTTGTTGTTGTTGTTGTTTCTCACATTAGCTCTATAGAAAGTCCACAAAAAATGGGGAGCCCGTAGTCTCAAAACCAGGCACGTACGACGCCGCGGGGAAACAAAACAAAAATAGGGTACAAACCACTCGGAACAAGATCTTAGAAAACAAAATGACAGTCTAGAAAGAAAAGAACAGGTATCGCACCGACCATTCGAGAAAAGTATGGGTTCTTGTCTTTACTATTATTGGCATCGACCGCGCTGAGCGCCTGACCGGTGAACAGACGTTGTTAGTCTCAGTGCGTACGGTGGAAACCACGAAATAACTTTTTTTTTGCGGCCACGATCTGGGACTCTGACTGAGCGTCATGGAGGAGTCTACGCTGCTCTCCGGATTAAAGATCGAAACGGTAGTAAAGCAACATAGGAAAAGCGAACGTGTCTACTTGTAGTTAGGTTGCTACCTTTCACTCGAGTTCGTTTTGGAGTGCTTTCATCATCGCCATCCTCCTCCTTGCGTACAACCATTCATTGTATGCTCTCGCCGCCATCATCGTTGTTAAGACTAGCTTTTTTGCGGCAGTTCTTATCAGGAAAAATAAGTACAAACACAGAGACGACTAAAAATGTTCATTCGAGATGTTGGAGTCTTTGCAGTGAATGGAGGGAAACCGGCTAGGTACTGGGCTTATTTCGAGTCTAATTAACCCAACACACTGACATTCTTCTTTATTAGCCCTCCCTGCGCCGTTTGTTCGTTGTGAGGGAGGTCATCAGTGTGTACTGGCTCGAAGCTCTTTCTTTCTCTCTTCCACTCTATGCATCCCGCCTCCCTTGATTGCTGTTTTGGTCGTTGCCCTTGTCCTCCCGTTCGTTTCCTCCTCCGTCGCTGCCAAATATTTTCCTCTCATTGCAACTATCATCATCGTCTTTGTCGGCACTACCGAAGTCCCTACCAATGAGACTATTGGCTTTGTTTCTTGGTGGAATTTGGTTCATCAAAAGTGTGTATAATTTTGTGATGACTAGTGTACCCTCCCATGTTACATGGAAGTTCTGCAAATGCCCGCTTGCACAGGAGGGCGTCAAATCTCCACGGGGAAGGTTTATAATAGTAGTCAGTGGCGGGAGCACAACGACACGCTTGATTGCTTAGTACAAAACAAATGTGTAACAAATCGAAAATGCGTACGTGGCGGTCGGTGCACCTGCAAGACTGGATTCAATGGCCAAATATGTGTCATGTACAATAAACACGCCAAGAGTCTTCATCTGTAGCTAGCATCTGCTGCTGTCTTGTCGACCCCTCCCTCGTGCATGTTTGCTATGCGAATGTGGAGGAGGTATTCGCTCTTCATCTTTGTTTTTCTCAGTAAAATCATGAACTAACATTTTCATCAAAGCGAACGATTTGGCCCACCTTAACGGAACTAATACAAGCACACACAAGGACGAATCTGCCCCCTAAAACATGTCCTATGCTACCTCTAGATACTCACCCGACACAATATGAAACGTAGATAGTCACCCCCTCCCCCGCCAAATACTCGACTCGCACGAGGGGAGTTGTTAGCGGAGCTCGAGTGGTTGACTTCTGCAACAACTTCCAAGGAACGCATCATCGTAGATTTGTCAAGTCAGTCGTGTGTTGTTGCGTTCCAGCTCATCATTAGCGACAGCAACTTTGGCTCTCTCCGACACGCATCGCATGTTTTCCTGCAACTCGTTCATGATTGATTTTCGAATAAAAAGGCCAACAGCAGTCCGTCCCCACGATCGATCGCCGCTGATCAACAGGTGGAGGCCCACACCTTGCTTGTCTTGGCGGTCGATTCTCCTTTCTTTACCACTACAGTAATTTCGTCTCACAACGTAAAATCCACAAACTTTTTCGTGACACATCTCATACCGCCCGTGACCTACAACCTGTATATTTCGCGGCTCGCATAACGACAAGCCCGTCAACACAACACCCCACCGATCATACCATTCGTAAAAACACACGAGTGACTAGCACTGCACTCGCTGAAAACCAACACGCCCCCCCCCCCCCCCCCCCCCCCCCCCCCCCCCCCCCCCCCC